AAAACAGACCCATTACTTTTCAAGTAAATTGAATTGAGTCTCCGAGCCGCTGGCATATTTCCTATAGAGAAAAACGTTAAAATACCTTTCCTTTCTGCCGTGAGACGATGGCCTACAGGTATGATATCTGACTGATGTCAAATCAATGGGGTTTCAATCCCGGCTTGAAGCAATCGTGCGTCTAACCACACCTATGAGCTGTTATACAAACAGTCTGCATGGGTATATATATATATATATATATATATATATATATATATATAGGGGGTGGTAAGGATGTTATCCTTTTTTACCTTTCAATAAATGTAATTTCAGTTAAACTATAATTTCTGGTCCTTGATTTGTGTCTGAGCATTTTGTTTGAAACATTGTGAAACACCCTGTAGATAACATTTTGCGTCAAATAATTTGTGTGTTTGGAGTAAAATGATTGCTTGAAATTTGTTACTTTACGTCATCCATAGTTTCGTTCCCTTCCTGTAACTTTGTTATTATGATAGTTTTCTGAACTTAAATTCAATAAACATTCCATTTTTTTCTTCCTGCAATTATTAATTCTGCCCTTTACATTTAGGGTATTTCTACTCCATGTAACATTTCCTTGGAATTTCACTTGTGCTCACTAGAAAAATAAAATGGATAACGCCTTAAGGACTTGAAGTGATTATTTCTACCTTAAGCTATTATTATAATAACTGATTTCTCTGTAAAAAGTCTTATGATTATTACACAGTATAAAGTTTGGATCGTTACCTGTCTAATCATTGAGAATTAGTTTAATGTGAATATTGGCAGATTTACCTGGAAAAGCTATTTGCCGATTGCACCAGCTCACAAATTCATATTAAGCATAATAAATACCCAGATATACAGGCATATATCTATATAGATAATTACTGATAATTTGCAATATACTGGCTTCGAATAAACGCTTATAATCATATACTTACTAGTAATTCAAATATAGTTTGATCAAAATGTTTTTTGTTAATTTGATAAGATTTAATATAAACAAACAATAACGAAAGCCAATACATTTATATATAATTACTGAGCTTTCGATAGTCTGGCTTCGAATAATTGTATAGAATCATATACTTATCAATAATTGAAATATAGTTCCATTAAAATGTATTTTTGCTAAATGGTAATGTTTAATATAAAACAAATAACAACGAAAGAGAAGTAAAATCATTGAATAATGAGATATTGATATATATATTTTTTTTAAATAAAAAATTTAAGAATTAACTTTTCCTACCTGGTATATAAAGCGAGTTTCAAATTCTTCGGCATTTATTTTATCACTTTTTGTTTTTTTTTTAAAAAGGGGTTGGTTTGAAATGTACATTCCGGTTCTAATTTTCAGATAAACAGCGCTCTGGAAGCTTTGCGCATACCTATTTTTTGTTTTCGTAAATTACCCTTAATCATTATTTGTATTAATCATCCATTTCGATTATAAAGTCGATCAACGAAAACTATGAAGGAAGTCAATTTAAAAGGGACTTTTGTAAATAAATCAGATACTTACGTTTTGACCAGAATAAAGAAGTTTTTTTTCTAAAAGAAAAGTGTTATTCTCACTAATCTACGCCCTGATAATTTACTGTCATTTTCAATATTTTCTGTGTAGGTATTTTGGGCTGCACACGTGTGCTTCTACGACTGTCTCTCTTATATACATAGAAAAAAAACGATTATGACATTTCTCAAACCCCGAGGAAAACTGATAATTTAAAAGAAAATGTATTTAGTATTCTGAATTTATATATCTTAATTATATTATATTATTTTTAGATACATTCTCGTTTTATTTATAATTTTATATTGTTGCAGTTAGTGTCATGTTATCAGTGGTCATTTTGCTATTGTGTATTAAGATAAAAGAATTTCACCGTTAGGTAATGGTTAGCATTATGAACGGTGCACTAAACTGTTCACCTGTCGACCTCTCTGCCTTAAGCGGAGAGGAACCCGGACGAGGCTTTGCCGAAGGGCAAAGTTTCGTCCGGGGGAGGTAGACAGGCCAAGACCCGTTTATGCGGGTTCAACGAGAATGTTTTTGGCCGAGTCTACGGGCTCGGAGAACCCATGGTAATCTTTGGCCTTGTGCCACATATATCCCTCGTGGGGTGGGTGCTGTTAAATATTAATGGTTAGCATTATGGAAAAAAAAATTCAGTGGAGCACGCTCGAATTATAAGTTAAATTGTCTTTTTTTTTCATATTTTTACTTCGAATATGCAACGTTCGGCGTCATTGGACACTTCGTCTTATCAACTGAAAACTCGGAAAAATGCTTCGTTACACTTGGTGACCAAAACGAAGGTAGATGTTTGACATCTGCTTCCCATAATTTCGTAATGAACTGAAATCCAATTTCGTTAAACCCCTTTATTATATTATAATATTTATTTAAAAGTCTATGTTAATAAATAGTCACGTGTGCTAAGGCTACGCTATTATAGAACGACAGTTGTAAATGGGTGCATTTCCTGTAGTTGCCGCCATATTGCCATCAGATACAAGCGTAACTGTTTGGATTTTACACTGGAAGAGCATAGATGTTTACGCTAAGTACCTAAATTTCTTATTCCATACTAACTGTTAATCTTTTGCTATCACTGCTCGTTAACTGAAATTTTACTATGAATTTGGTTGAATAAATCTTTGAAAATTTCATCCAAATCCGAATGAAATGTTAATGCTTTTTTTTTCTCAAACCTAACCTCAAATATTCCTAGGATGTTTTGCAGTTACATTTGAATTTTTTATGAAAACTCGGCTGATTTCATTTTTTTTAGATTTTAAATTCCTGAATAAATTTAAATATGGGTTTCATCTTACTGATTAATCGAATTCTAGAAGTCTGCGTTCACAGACATTGTGCTTGAAAATAGACCACTATCTCCATCCCGGATCTGTGTTTAATCAGAGAAAGGAAATTCATCTTAAGCAGTATGCATAATTAATTTCTATTGGTCACATTTAGAGTTTAAAAAAAATACCTCGTTAGTGACATCAGAAATATCCATCAATCTGCAATATTATTCATATCTAGAAAGACCTTCGCAACTGAAAAATAAATTTCAAAGATTTAATTGGTATTATTTATTATTAAATATCAGGTCCAATAGAGTTACATCCATTATATACACATACATGAACACACGTGTATTAATGATGTTGGATAGTCACTCCACAGAATGGAAAATATATATAATTTCAGTGTGACTTCTTTCCCCAATGGATTGCTGGTATCATCAAAATAAATTTATTTCACCAAAAATAAAATCCATATAAGCGAGACAAAATGTGACTCACGTTAAGCAGCGGAACGACTGGTTTTCACTTTAATTGTATTATAGAAACTTAGACTAATTTCATGCCATTTTATATATACATATATATACATCATGGTAAACGTTATTGTTAGTGGATACACTTATTTGTGTAGATGCTCAGTTTACTTATTAAACAGTATTTTTAATTATTTACATCTAGCAGCCTGAATATTCGTGAAATCTTATTAACAAGAAAAGTAGGCGTTCTCCAGCAGGATTCGAACCTTTGCTCCCTTCTCCATTGGCAGATAAACGTGCTTTAAACCGACTCTGACATAGATTATACAAATTTCATGGCAACTTGTCTACCGTAGAACGAAATGGCAACCTACTGCGGAAAGTCTGCCTCATCAGTCATGTATTAAAAGATACATGATCGCCTAAGCGTGTATCACGCATGGCACATAACTGAGTGACTGAATTAACGTGATAAAATCTGTCGGATGAAAAAACAAAAATATCCACTAGTGTTTCAGTAACAATTTGGTAATAATTTGGTAATAATTTGTTTATAATGCAATTAATATTAGAAAAGAATTAAAGTTACTATAAAGTTGTTGTTATATGAAAAGTGTTCATCCATTTAACTTAAATGATTTTTTTTTCTCGCAAACGAACTTTTTTCTTTGTGAAAGAAAATTGTCTTTGGACCCAAATTTGTGAAATATGACAACGTAAATGTTCAAGTTGTTATACGGGTGCCTATGCTTATGGCAGTCGACGTAATCTTCACATCGTTACAATGAGGTGAAAGGTTAAGTATATGACTGAATAGCTATGGTATATCTTTGCCACTTATTTATATAAACTTAGCTAAAATCCAGAAAGCCAAACGTGTGTTTTACCAGACAGTATTGCACGCACTGTTGAGAATCAAATATTTCTTTATTTTTTTGTAATTACTGACATGAAGACAATTTGTCTCCAAATCTTGACTGAAGAAATTATAGAAACAAAGATTAATATTTAAATTGAATTTATTACCTATTTCTTGCTGAAAAAGACGTTTCTCATCAAGTCTGTATAACTGTCATTGACAGCAAATTAATATTGGATAAACGTCTTTAATAATTTCATCTGCTTTAATAGTAGATGGAATAGAATGGATTCTCTGTGCTGGACTCGCTAACATAATGAATACTGCTAATCCAAATTTTATATTTAATAAAAATTTGATTACAGTTGTGTAATAACAGGCTTTCATACCACACAGCGACTTTTGGCGCATTCAGAGTGCACAAAATTTTAAATTGATACAAATATTATTTTAATATATATCCAAGACGAAGAGGTAATTTGTGACGTTGTGATAAATATGGTGACAAAGATGAGGACAATAATGTAAATAGTGAACATAATACCTCATCTCAGAAACATAGACAAATAATGTTTATAAACATTAATAAGTAGTTTCGTATTGTACAAAAACATTAGTAATGTTTATAGATGGCACAATGTTGGTATTTAAGTAAGATTAAATACTTTTCTGTTACATTTTAATGAATACTAGAGTTTGTAAAAGTACTTAAGTGTTTTTGAGAGATGCTAGTTTCATTTGGTAATATGAAAAGTAGAATATATGAGAGAAGTAAAGTGAGGGGGGTTAAAATGACGAGAAAGGTGTGAGGAGTGATGGTGGTTGTTGAAGCCGTAATGCCTTTGATGTATCAGTTCACAGTTGTAAGTCTTCGTCTCTCTTTGTATTCTATGTGTCTTCCGTTGGAATCTCTTCTTTTTCTTTTAGACAGGGATCTATTTATATTGTAAGCAAAGTTGAAAGAGGCTCATATTTCAGGCACGCTCACTTCTTATTTGTTAACATATATTTATTTAGGATTGTATTTAATCAAGTTCTGCGTGAAGCCTATTACAAAATGCCCGAAATATGTCATTATGTTTTAAGCTATGAAAGAGGTAACTTCCTGTTTCTACTCTTAGTGTCGCTACTATCTCTTTTATCAAATTCATATAAAAACTTTCATTTTGACGAAAACTGGTATCATAATCTGGGACGTTCAGGAATTAATTGATATAAACCAGGATCTAAAATTCTAAAGAAAAAATTTGAATTTGTCATAGATTAATATTTTATTCCGCAGTCCTTTATAGATTCTTTAATTTTAAGTTCACATTTTTCGTTCGCACTATAGATATACACCATGATTTTGGATTTCCCCACGTAATAGCTGCTACGAGTTTATGTATTCAAAGATATTGTCGCGCACATTGATAATCTACCTACTAAGTAAGTGTGTTATTAGTGTTTGTATTATCTACGCGATTTATTTTAATATTGTACTTTTTTATCCATTATAAGACGCAGTAATCATTCAAAATAGAGTTTTAGTAAATAAGGTTGTGTTAAGGGTCTACATTTGGGCAACATGTTCTGCGTATTATGAGGATATGTAGGATGAACAATTCTAGCCTTGAAGCTGTTAAAATTGTAGTAACCGGGGAAAACATTTCCCAGTGAAGTCTGTCCTGCAAGACAACTGTTCCGGAGTAGATGTCTAGGTGGAATTTTCTCCTCACAAATAGAACACAAAGGAAACAAGAATATGTGTGTGTGTGTGTGTGTCGTGTCCGCTCCAGCTGTGAAGATCTTGACTGATAGAATCAATTAATATTCTTCGCCCGGACACTTGTCATTAAGATAATTATAGTGTAGCGAGATAATAACAACATAAATTGCAATATGAGCTCATGTAAATAAATATTAAGTATAAAAGTCCCCAAAAATCAGACATTACCGAGTGGATAAAAGTGTTGGTTGGATCCAGTGACTTGACCCAAAGAGACGGGAGTTCAATTCCTGGCTACTGCAGTGGTGAGCAAAAACTTGGAGAATTGAGTTAAAGGGAGAGAACTGATACATGAGGCACGGCAGGAACTAGAACGATCTTCTCCAATGGACGAAATAAACGGTTCAGTTCGAAATTCCAATCACCTGAAGAATGTCGGTGCGTAAAACGGCCGAAATATTGTCAATATGGCAATAAAGATGAGGGCAACAGTCCGAACAATGTAAATAAAGTAAATAGTTACAATCTCAAAAATATAGATATACATGGATTCTGTAGTCTGTGACTGTTGTCTTCGGTTGGTTGCACTTGAAGTGTATTGGGAAGAAAATCATGACCAATGGCACGCTTGAGATTTACAGTGGCTGTTATAACTGAAGTGTTTAAAATATTCAAATTTTCATATTTCTTTTAATTATTGATGATGAATAAATGATTTTAACATGTGTCTAACAATTGATGGTGGATATTTTTTTTTAAATTGTCTTGAAAATTGATGGTGAAAATAAATAAACTTCTTTTTTAAATGTATGAGTTGCTATTTTTAACATTATCTGACTTCATAATAATAAACATATTTTCCGGTAAAATAGTTAGAGGTGGGGTCTATTTTTCCGGAACCGGTAAAATAAACTTAAAAGCATGTTTGTCTGTTTTACTGGGACCGGCAAAATAACCTCTTCATAATGTAAATTATAGCTTGCCTGACCATTCGCATACAGAAACAACTACACTGAACAAATTATTGAAGTTACTGTTGTTTATATTTATTTATTATTAATAATAATAATAATGATAATAAAAAAAATAGTGCTGTTCTTCTTCTTATAATAATAATAATAATATAGATGTTTGGCAATTTTGTTGGCTGAATGTTGATGAAATGCATTGCCAATGATATTCATATTTTTCTTAGATTAGGGAATCATAAATAATTTCATTGAATAAATGTTCTAACGATGTTACCGTTATTTTATTTTATTTATTTATTTTTTGTTTTACTCCGATACATTTTGCAAAACGAAATAGAAACGATAGCGTCAGACAAATTAAATGTTCGGTATAAAGTACAAGAATTAATCAAAGCATATTTTTACAGAATTTTATAATTTATAATCCTTCTGGGAAATATTCGGTTTTTATTTACTTTTTTTGTAGGTTATTATCACTTTCGTTTGTAAGCTGCTTGTTATGTAAAACTTCCCTCCTGCTGTATATGAAGGGGTCATGCGGGCATTTTTGCCACAAGATGCCAGCGGCAGATACGTTAAAGCGAAATGAAAGCAGCGAAAGTAATCCAGCATTTACGGCTGCCAAGATGCTTCAAAGCAGCACATAAACCTTTGAGAAATAAGGGATCGCGCAACCCTTTCATGTAAATCACAAATTTGTGGCCTGGTGTCATGGTTGACTGAGTGAATGATTGCAATGTGCGCCATCAAATTTATTCTCGCTTTTGTTTTCGTTTTTCTTTTTCTTTTTTTCCTTTTCTATTTTCCGTAATATCTGTTTGTCTTTCTTTTACTTTTCCCTTTCACTCGCTCTTTTTCACACTTTCTGTCATTTTTGAGTCTTTGACAACTGCTTTTCCTAACTAATAATCTTTAGTTTTCCCTTTGACTCTTGGTTTCTAGCTATGCGTTATCAATTGTTCTTTCATTTCCATTATTCAACATCTCTTCTTTCAGCTTCGATATGCTGTTTGATGCTTTTACTGTTGACAACTTTTCGCCTCTCCTCATGATGCACTTTAGAGGACGCGTTCAACGTTTCTTTTCATTATTAAATCGTACCTTACTTCTCCTCTCCTTTTACATGTATTGTCCTTTTTACATGTCCTATTCTTACGATTCATAACGTATACAATTTGTCTGTTTAATTTATTCAATTGATATCTCCTTTACATTCTGCATTCATGGTCAATTCTCAATGAAAAATGATATAAAATTTTCCGTATCCCTTTTCTCTGTTCTTCCCTATTTTTGTACTTGTGTATTTTCTTCATTATTCTTTTTTTTATTTTTATTAGTGACTTTTCACTTTCTTTCTTTTTTCTTATTTTTCTTTACGGTCCTTCTCTAATTTTTCTTCCTCCTTTCTTTTTCTTCCTCCTCTCTTTTTCTTTCCTTTACTTTGTCTCTTTTTCTTTGTTTCTCTCTTTAGCTCTGTCTCTCACTTTATCTGTCTTTCTCGTTATCTTCCCTTTTTTTCTCTTTCTTTTCTCTCTTTCTCTCTCTCTTCCCTTTTCTTCATATTTCTTCCTCTCATTCTTTCTCTTTTTCTCATCCTGTTTGTTATTTTCCCTTTCTTTCTCTTACTTCGTGTACTCTATTTTATTTCTTTTCTACGTCTTCTCTATTCTACTTTTTTTCTACGTTTTTATTTTTTTCTAAGTCGCTATTCTATTTCTTTTCTTTTCTACGTCTTTATTCTATTTCTTTTCTACGCATTTATTATATTGTATTTCTTGTTTTACGTCTTCTCTATTGTATTTCTTTTTTTACGTCTTCTCTATTGTACTTCTTTTTGCCTCTCTTCCTCTTTCTTTCTCTTCTCTCATTCTTTCTCTTCTCTTTCTTTCTTTGTCTCTTTCTTTCTCTTCTCTCTTTCTTCCTCTCCTCTATTTCTTTCTTCCTCTCTTTCTCTTCTCTCTTTCTTTCTTTCATTCTATTTCGTTCGCTCATTCTTCTTTCCATCCGTTTGACCATTATTACATTTTTTCTTTGTCTTCTTTTCTTCAGAATTATGCGTTTCTTTCTGTCTGCATATTTTATTCTCGCAAAATGCTTTTATATTCATTAATATTTTTCACGCCAGCGCTTCGTTTTCCTCATCTCGTCTTATTTTCTTGCTTTATCCTCTTCATTCATACAGGATGTCCCGTCCCGACCATTTTCGTCACATCTTCCCACGAGTTTCATATTATGAATTCCTTTTATAACTTTAATCTTTTCACTTTGTCTTCTCCATCATTTCATCTTTCTTACTCTCTTTTTTCTTTCTTCAGCTTCAATTAAATATGTTGGACAGTTATTCCTTTACCAGATTTCCGTCATTGATACTCGCTTTACGTAATCTTTTTCTTTTCACATTTCTAATTATTCTTCGTTTTCAGTTCTTTTCTATTTTTCTCTATCTTTCCTCTCTTCCATTATATTCTTGCAAACCTTTTCATACATATGTATATTTTGCTTCCATATTATTTATTATGCTCTTCTTGTATTGAATAACCCTTTTCTTTAATTCGCTCCGTTTCAATCGTAATCCTGCAACAACAATTATTACTATAATTACGCGTAGCAAACTAAAACTTATTTTTCTACTCATTATTATGTTAATAGTAGTATTAGCGGTTGTAATAGTATTACCAAAAGTATGCCACTTCGTTCTCTTTCTGTTTTCTTGTCAATACTGGATCGCATTCCGTAGATCAAGAATCTGATTCTGCTGTAAATGTCGATATCTTCCCGAAAGACACGGAAAATTCACAATGATTAAATAGAACGTAACAAAATATTGTCGTCGATCATTTTTTTTTCTATTAATTTTTTTCTTAATAGCTACTCGAGGTAAAGGGTTGCAGACAAAGAGACACGTTTTATTGGGATATGTGAGAAGATATGTGTTGATCCTAGACTTGAACCGCTTAAGGGTGTAGTAATCGGGGAAGCATTCTCTTGAAACGGTGATTTGTGGGAAGAAGCTCATAGTGAAAGCAATGAAAACGAAGGGAATGAGGATGGTTGGCTACAATTTGCGTGACATGGCGAGTATTAGCCCTGAAAAAACTAAAGAATGTATATCGTTTGAACACTTTCCATGAAAATATTGTTAGAACAGCAAGAGACCTGCGACGTTTCATCTGTAAGAAATGGATTGCAGCTTGGAAAATAATTCAGCATCTATACGGACATGGAGACACTTTTGGTTTATCGAGACTCGAATGGAAAACCTGGGCTGCTCCTGCCCATATGTGGCAGTGTTACTCAATTTTCCATCAGGACTGGCTCTTGTAACATTAAATGATAACAAAAAGATCCGGGTAACAATGAGAATACGATTGGCAAAAAAAAGATGGCAATAGCGAAAATAATGCACAAACTACTTTTTTTTTATGTTCTTATGCTCATTTTTCGCGATACAAATGTGTAACCCTGAGAATTGTTATTTAGTAAATTACGGCGCGTTTTGCCGAAATTAACTACGAATGATCGATTCTGCATCGAATAGACCTGAGAGCCTGATATAGTTTTTTGTAGGAGAACATAAACACAGTTGTTTTCTTTCACTTATCTTTCTTCCAGATTGTACGTATTTATTTGTTCTGTAAGTTTTATGAATATTTATATATTAGTTACCATATAATGATAATTGATCAGTTATATAAAATAATCCAAGTTGGATGAGTTCGATCCTCTCTTGCCCATGATTATTGTGGCTCTGAATCAGACTCAGATATATAATTTATGTAACTTGTAAGATCGATCTGACAAAGTGTTCTTTCAAGCGATATCATCCAATTTTCAAAGTTTTTCGATATTCTAGACATGTTTTTCAAATTGTTTAATACACTCTTTTACAGCTTGAAAATCTGTATTAACTGAGATAATAAAAAAAACATCCCAGTAGGCACAACTTTAACATGTTGGAACCCACTTGCAATATAGCGATTTTCATGTTTAAGATCCTTTGTCTATGCATGCACTTTCTCTTAATTTTCATCTTAGAAACGTATAGATAGCATTACTCTTTTCCCATAAAGCTATCCTTATTTATATATTCGTGTTAGAAAGCTGCATTTATTTTAATTGCTCAATTCATTTTCTTAAGAATGTTAATGAAAAAAATGACCGTGAAGTTCTCAAAAATAAAATTATCTCCAAATTTACCAAGATGCGCATCAGGAAGGAAATGTTATAACCACTTTATTTGTAGTAATCAATGCAATGATTCTGTGCATAATTAAGGTCAATTTAGTGCCTCTTCACGAATCAAATTAAATGAATTTTTACATTCATATTTCAGACATCTGTTATTCACCGCAAGTTTTACATAAACCTCATTAGAATTTTAAGAACATTTGGTGTTTAAAATTCAGTGCGTCTCTGAAAGGCAATTAAAGTCGGAATATATATCAGCCATTCGTACAATCGCCTTTTACAAATATTTATTTATAAATAAAGTATCTGCAAATACATTGAGAAATATTAGTAGTTCTTAAAACTATCTCAGGACAAATAAAGCTTTGAAATAATACCAAACATTAAGAAATATATGTAATTAAAAATCTGGTTATTTCTTAGACTTTCTGATCTTTTGGAATATGTATCTAAAAATAATTAATAATAATCTTAATTAACAGATTCATCAATTCTCAAAGTTTATAGGAATTTGAGATTGTTCATTCCTGGTTCTGGATACTGATAAATCTCGGCTTCATTTTTCAACCGAGATAAAAAAAAAAAAAGGATTTACAAGAGTTTCAAATAATAATCGCACTGCGTTAATTATTCTTATTAATATAATAGATAATTAAATAAGAGAATTTATGTCTAAATTTCTGAAATAAAGAATTATGTTTATTTAAGTTGTTTTTATTTGGACTAATTACTCATCTTTGCTGTTATTATCACAACGTTTCGCTGTGTGATCACATAGTAATTATGAGTTCGATCCCTTGCTTGAGTTGTACAGATTTATACATAATGAAAAACGTGCAAGCTATATCTGAGTGGTTTTTAATTAGGACAAGATGTGATATCCCTAGGTATATACAGCTGAAGGATGGACATTTACCTCATTAGATTAAAGTGTTAAAATCGAATTCCTGAGATGGTTAGCCAGATCGATACACACCTGAACATTCGTGAAGTGTACGACAACTGAGAATCCATGATAAAAACAAAACATAGAAAATCAGGACATTAATTCAGAATATAAATTATGTGGTGATAACTGATTTCTCTGGGAAAATTATGAGTCAATTTATGATTTATAAATTACTTAATTTACAATTTTAATGAATAGATACCGACAAAAACAATTAATTTGTTGATGGTCACTGACACAAAGACGGAATTCTTGGGTACACATATACTGAGTGGATGCCGTGTGTGTGTGTAGACACGCATCGTTCTAAGTTTATGTCTAATAGATATCAAGGTACGCATTATGATTGAAATATTTGAAAGGAAAGATTAGGCTTCATATTTTTAAGGCAGGTTAGATTTACTTGATCGATACGTCTGGACAGAGTAATCTTCCTGCTCTCATATTACTGTTGATGCGCACATAGTACTAATGCAAATTTATTTGGATAACCAGGCTTCACTCCAAAAACCAATATATGGAAACTTGCATGTAACCTATTATATAACACACATTGAGATTACAAATTTTAAATGTGGAGCACATGAAAATCGAAAGGCCTGTAGTGGTTGCAGAATAAATATTATGAAACTGCTGTTAGCTTAAAAAATAATTCATGTTATTTTACATAATTATGTCGTGTCTTTTTACGATATCGTCGTTCATGGCTCCCAACAATATCATGTTATTTTTGTTCTACGTAACTTCATACATATTACTATCTCGCTGTGTTTGTCATTCCTTCATTCAAACTTATTGAAGCGATGACGCGCCTTTTCACTCTTGCTTTTCTTTCTTTCAGTCTTTCCTGTGTCCTTTAAGTACTCTAGATTTTCTTTCCTCGTTATTTCTCAAAGAAATCCCAATTCTTTCATTCTTATTGTAGATATCATTTTCTTTTTAGTTCAGTTTTTTTTTTCATAATACTCAATGGAATTTTGTATATAATAGTTAAACTGAGTAACATGGATCTAACGCAATATTTCAAGCTGATTCTCACAGAAATGCTTTATCACTTGTTCGACCAAATCAAGTCAGGATTACTGTATAAGAAATAATTAAGCAGCACATTTTAGATGGCAATTTTAGCTTAGAATGAAAACTAAATTGTGGCACAAGAGAGAATGAGAATTCCTTACGTTAATCTTTCACTTGCTGAGACGCGCCAAGCGTAGAAAGCACTATTCAACGGATTCTCTTTTTTTTTTTTCCAAAATGTAAATATTAACGGCAGGTCGCAACGAGAATACTTAAATTCTTATGGCAAAAAAATGAAGTAGAAATCAATTTTGTGCAAAATATTTCCGAAGCTGAAACAGATGTATTTCGCCCTACTTTCGAGGTGAAGTACGTCAAGTTTATTTGTGTATTACATGAATAAAGATATACTTTAAGGATCAAGAAATGAAATAAAACCAATAGTTAATACGATTTATTTGAATAGTGATTTCAAACCGGATTAAAATCATCTGCAAAAAGAAATAACTATGTTCAATATTTATCATTTAATGAGATAAGATAGCATCAATTTTAAAATATTTGAGTTTTTCCTTTAAAAAAATGGTTAATATTTTTTTAAAGATATAAAGTTTCGGAAGAATATTTCGAGCAACAGCCTAATTAGTTACCCGCTATTCAAGAACTAAGAATTTAGAACGGAAAATTACACTTACATTCGGATGAGATAATGCATTCTGTTGAAGAATATTCCTTTGCTATTAATTTTAGTTTCGGTTTATTAAACATGTATCATTAATATCTGTGATGTGCAGGTTGGCATAACGGCTAACGGCGCGGAAAATTGAATTGGTTCTAAATCCGACCCAACCAGTTTGTTTCACTTCCTACTAATTATTTTGAGAAGGACATGAATATGTTTTATCCGTAAACAATTCTAGTTGTGGTGGTTTTTCTAAGCATAGCTTAGATGTGGCACAAGGCGGGAAGTATGGGGCACCCAGTGAGGATCGAATTCACTTGTCAACGGTAATTGTTATAGCGAGACGAACTTGCTAGTCGACCAAGTCCGGGTGCCAAAATCACTCATAGCTGAAGTGATTTTGGCACCCGCACTCAAATCTCTCGTGATCTTTAGGTGGTAGGATAAGCGCAACTCTAAATCCAAAGTATTTAAGATGTGAGTGGTTCAATATATTTTCCAAGAATTTCGGACTATTCACACCGATGTAATGTAATAACCTGTCACCCCCATGAGGGACTACACATATAAGTATCCGTAAGGCAACGGACTGCAGGAATCAGCTGGGATCTGTCGAGTACGACTCAGAGTTACGCGAGAACTACCGACCTTCCAATAGTAGCACTAACTACTGGATTGACTTGCGACGATCGTGTGCATATCATCTTTATTTTTATTGTACTGGTTTTTACAATAAAGCTTTACTTATTTTATCCACCGTGTTTGTCAAGTATATATTCCTATAAAACGAAATATAACACACACTTATAAATAAAGAAAGCCGTGGAGAAGAGCATCCGCGTACGTCCTGAATAAATCTATCACTGATTTTTTTTTCAGTAATATAGTCTGTATTCCCTCGGGAAATAAGTACTACTTGACTCGAATTTTTTAAAGCATTTTATGGCAAATACCAGGTAGACTTCTTGGGAACGTTAGAAACAAAAACTAAGAAAAAATGTAAAATGAGCCTCGATTCAGACTCTTCATCCTCGGCAATCTAAATTTTCTGAGGTAAGTCTTTGTAATACGGCAGCGAAGGCCAGCGGTAAAGGTAATTCATGTTTTGTTACCAGTAATTCACTAGCAAGCACGTGGACAAAAAAAGCGTTTGATAAATGAGCATTTTAATTTTACATGCCATGACTTGACTACATTTATTATTCAACAGTGACTTTCACAAATTCTATTTATCCTGGATGAACGAAGATCACTTCTTATTTCATGACACCAATTCAAATTGAGTCAAGAAGAATTGATAAGTCCTTTTCAAATACGTTTAGAAAATTTTGTTTTCCATATTTCTGTTTTAAAAATATTCCACAATTCACTGAATTTACATGAATTTTAAGGACAAAGATTACATTGCAAAATAAATAATTTCGTTAGTCTGTAGTTGAAAGTCTAATGGAATATTTAATTTGGATGCATTAATGTAAAAGCCTGTAAAGAATCGTTTACTTTTAGAGATTAAAACGTTAATTTTTATTCACTGATGGATATCTTCATTTAGGCTTTAGTCAGATTTAATTTGGGCTGTGATTTTTCCCTTGAGAAAATATAATTATCTGTCAGGCTTACATATCATTAGTCAAATATGCTAGTTGCAGCCTTTTTAATGTTCGTTGTATTTTTTATTTCCTTTTACATACAAGTCAAACACATAAGGTAGTAAGAGAACAAATGAAATGAAAAACAACTGACGAATGTGGATAGGTTTAAGAATCCTATACTAGTAAAATCACTTATACATTTACAGTAAAAACATAACATGCTGTCTTTCTGGGTAACTTATTTACAAAATTAAAATTATTAAATAATTGTTGCATTAAATGAGGCTTACGGCCATATCACGTTGAAACATCGGTCCCCGTACGATCAAAGAAGTTAAACAACGTTGAGCCTGGTCAGTAACTAGATGGGTAACAACTTAGGAATACCTGGTGCTGTAAGCTTGATTGTGCGGGTGGTGTAATGGATAATGCTTCGGAATTGTTAATCCATGGTGGGTTCGGTATATTCACTTAAACGCAAATACCTTTCGGAAAGCTATGAATCCACCTCTTCTCCCTCTAGCTATGTGTTACTTAGTAAGAATTGTATCACTAAATCATTAGTATCTCTAAATAAGCAATGTAAAAAATATTTTCTGGATTTCAAAGTAACTTTCAAATAGGGGATAAGCTGTAGAAATCGAATCAATCAAAAAATTAAATAATTAACATTGTTCAGACTGTTTTTCGCATCGTTATTGTAATGTTCACGACGTTTCGACCGTTGTACGATCCGGTTTTCTTCAGTTAATTGGGATTTCGAATTGAACCATTCATTTCGTCCATCTGAATAAATAGTTCTAGTTCCACGTCTCATGGCTCTTCCGGATGTCTGCGTTATCATCATTTAACTCAACTCTCCAAGTTTTCTTCACCACTACAGTAACTAGGTACCGAGTGCACAACTCTTTGGGTCAAATCACTGAATCCAGTCAATGCTTTTTATCACTCAGCCACGAGTCCTTAAACTATTTACATTTGTCCGGCAAGGACATTCGATTGTTTCATTTAGAAAGTAATGATTACAGTTGAAAAATGCCACGGATTAATTTTTATATTACAAATACATAAATAATTTTCGTTTGTATACAGAGACACTTCAGGTCGTCAGCAAACATAGCACTTCAAACTTTCTACTCTTTATATCTCTCAGTAACGTATGTGGCGTATTATGGCCTATTCTGTCATTCATTAACATAAGCCCGTTAGGTATTTGATATATTATTAAATCAGCCACTCTTGTTTCAATGTCTTTTGAATGACAAAATCTCCAAGCCTATTTTCCTCTTTATTTGTCAATATACAATTGTCTGTTTCGTTCCCATTATGCTGAAAACTTCATCGCTTCTCATATATCACGTCCGTGGCATATTTCTGTAGAGTCATATTTTCGCTTCAGCTTTCATATTCAACTGGATGGAAATTATCCAACAGTCATAGCGATATAGAAGAATATCATCCCATCGCTTCTTAAAAGATTTCCTTTCTTCTGACGAAATGTTCCAATGCCTTAATTTGTTTATCCTCTGGAAGGCAACGTTTTACAATTCAGTGCACCTTTTGAATCAGCGTCAAATCTCCCCTCGTCTTTTACGACATTACTCAAATAAGTAAAAAAAAATAATAATAAAATAAACGCTTCAATCTGATGCCTGCAGTTCATAGCAGGCAACTTAAGCTGCCCTTGCTGCAGATCCAACAATTTTCTCTTCTTACCCTTATTGTTTTTTCTTTCTTCTTGATATCATTTATTATCTTTTCTACCATATATTGCGGTTTCCTTTTCTGAGTCTGTGACATCCGTGTATCTTACGTTGGTAATATTGCGTATGCTAATAATAGAACACTGCTGGCTTTTTAGTTATCTTATGATGGCTTCGTTGTATTAATCCGGCGAGAAAATCCATCCTTGTCTTACGCCTCTAGCTATTTTTGTATACTTGTCCATCTTGCTTTGTATCCGAATCCAGGCGGTTGGTTCCCAGTAAATTTTGCAGAATATTCTAATCATTCATGCAGTTAGCACATTTTGCGCCACTGTCGTCATCACTCCCTTCAATCTAACAATTGCTCTTCATAGTAACATTCAAATAGAATATCGCAATGGCTTGCTGGTTACTTTTTTCCGGGAGAAGATTAAGCTTACCACGCCACTTCTCTCTGCGAGGTGGAGTTTTTTTAAAAGTTTCCTTTTAGTCATTGCCTAAAGAGGGAGGAGATACAGGGCATCAGGCTGTCTTGAATTCAGTGTCCCCTTTACCTTGACTAGTTGTCCCACAAGTCTATAGAACCTAGTCTGCCCTGCTATTTTACACATACCTGTGTAGAAATAGATGGATTCTTATGTTTCCCAAGGGTATTAGCACGTAAATTAATGTAATTAACTTGACTAGAATTCAAACGCTGTTACCTCAAACCGAATCCCTAGCCATTAGTCCACTATTCATTATTCTAGCATATTTCCAGATATTTTCTTGATAGTACAAAGAGATATTTGTGCTGTATCTTATCAAATATTTTTGTGTAATCTATGAAAAATATGTATATATTTCTGTATTGACTGCTTGAAACATTATTAAATGCATTATAGTAAATTTTTTATATCTGACTTGTAATTAAAATGATTATGTATGCAATGTCGATAATCATATGGAAATGCGAAATAAATAATATTGTGAAATGATCCCTATGTCTCTAGATTTAATAGCATTAGCAAATAGTTTAATGTCACTGGTTAAAGGTAAGCACCAAGCTTTGACTCTCAAATACTTAATTTGTTTCAGATTTTTATCAACACTTCCCAGTTTAATTTGAGACCATATTATATTTTATTTATCTTCCTTGCGGTTTCTATATATATATATATATATATATATATATATATATATATATATATATATATATACACATACATATTTATTGTGGTAATTATTACAGGTGACAGAATAAATTTCTCCTTCAGGTTTTAAGTTATTAATATTTTGTATAAATTAAAACTTTTTTTCTTTTAGAAGTGGTTCTAAGAAAGTTTATGTTGAGCTTAGATAAATTATTTACAAATGTAGTTGTAATAGTGTTCGTATCTAGAGCATTAAATTTTCATTCTTTGAGTTTCTTAGAATGGTCTACTCGCCTATTGTGAAATATTTTGTACACATGATTCCATGTAATTATTGATGACTACAAATACCAATTTATCTTAAGTATATCGTTTTTCTATATATAAACAATGAAAATGAACAAAATTATCCTTTAAATTACAACTAGATCAGTAATATATACCGTCAAGATAAACATGTATTGGTTAATAAAGCACCCAATATACACGAATGAATTAATATTAGGTGAGCCATTGACATTCTATAATATCAATAATATCTTCCTAAGTTGATTAGCATTACTTTCTAATTTTCAAACCTGAAAACAACTTGCAACGATGTTATTTCTTCCATAGTTCTTTATTTGCATGAATAATTTTCCATTTTCATAGATATTTTTTAAGAAGTTGGAACACACATTGTCCTTTGGATTAATAAGTGGAATAATATGAAAGCATTCGATTAATTTGATGTTTTTGAAACTATATTTGTCAAGCTTGGCAATAGGAAAAATTTGTAGAATATTCCGGCGCATTGTATTTATTGATTTCAATCGTTAGTCTACCAATAAAAAGGCTGTCCAAAACATTACAGAAATTGTTAGCATTTCTCTTGATAGATGCATACGTTTTGGAAGAGCCTACATTTTTTCTGTTTACATATACTTGGAAATATTACCCCATTTCTCCCCTTCTCTCTTTGAATGCGTTTCTTGATGGTTCACATGAACAAACACAATTCTACGCAGTGTAGTTTTATATTCGCCAATAAAAAATACTGTTTTGAAATCGGGTTTCATGTACCTCCTTACTCAAATGACACGTTTCCTTTTGTGATCGTTATTTTCATGCGGTAGTTGTTTTTTTGGGGGGTTTTTTACGTTCAATTTTTTCACCAATGTTATTAATATTCTGAATTGTTATTTTTTGTTTACATTCGCATCAACAGATTGTTGGAATATTTTGTTTTTTATTTCACATTTTTTGCTTAACTTATTTTTCAAATTAATTTTTTGACATTAATTTTTCAGCCATTTTTGCTTCCATCTGATTTCAGTTTATTTTTATTATGGCACATCGTTAATACTATTGTCGCAAAGACCTGGGTATGACGATAAAATACATCCGGCAGAAAGGCCTCTGTTCAGGTGATCGGAGGCTTTGAAGAGCGTGGAACCACTGGTTAATTGTTGTTTTGCCCGGAGCCTTAGCACCAGCTAGGGTCCAAGCTATGTGCAAAAAAAAAAAAAAAAAAAACACTATGGAAGAATACAAATTGATTTTTATAGTAAAAATATTAGCAATATATATTATATAAAACGAATTACCGAGAACATCTACTTACAATAAATTAATACATGTTAAAACGAAATGACAAACAATATATTTTATAGTAGTTATCGTAATATTACCCAAAAAACATGTTATGTATAGTTGAAGGTATGTAATAGGCTTCAGAATATTTTTAGTAGAAGCCGTAAAATTCTGTTCAAAGTAATTAGATTTTAGTATTAAATAACATATAGTGTTGATATGTCGCTAAACAATATCAACAACCTCTCCTCACAATATCTTCGATTGTTTTACCATCATTCATTACGTTTGCAATATATTTTGATACTTTTGATTTTATCTGTTGCCCTCAGATAATCTCAATATATTTTAAATGAAACAAATATATATATATATATTTAAAATATGTTGACCCTCTCTTTGCATAATGCATAATATATCGCACAAAACAGTTTATTCTGACATAAGAGGAAATAAATATATATATATATATATATATATAATGTGTGTGCATATCCTGAACATTGTACCATCATTCGATGTTTACTGACAATTTTATTGTTAAAACTTCGACATGCATAATAAAACATATTGTACGCAATCTAATTTTTCTGAATCATATATATTATGGTACTAACATTCTCAGTTGGGATAGATACATCCATTGTGTTGGTCGTTACCAAATCATCCATATCCAATAATATTGATGTGAAATGATACATATCGTTAACACGACATCTGTATGCCATATGTGCATTAGAATTAAATAAATCCATTTAAACCTTTTCAAACTAGTCATTCTAATCACGAATGACCTTGTTATACATGCGAGTATGTCTGTTTTTTTTTTCTTTTTTTAAGGCAATAACATGTTATACCTCTATAAATCCTTACAAACTTAATAGCTAATTTTGAAGCAAACCATCTCTCCAGGGAAGATGATATTAACTTTTGGTTGGTTCACTAGCGTACAACTCTCGACTGTCATTATTCCTTTTTTATATAAAAAC